AAAAAAAAAAGCCCAACAAAGACATTATAATAAAAAAATTAGTAATAATATCTCGTGTATGTTGGTATCTAAGAATAGATTTTGAATGGCTATTAAAAAATTTGTTTCTTAAATCCAAGAACATTCTCTTGCTTTGTAAGTAAGTGCGTAATACTTGAATTATTTTGGTAAACTTACGTAAGGGTATCGTTTTGTAAAAATTAATTTCAAATAGTTTTTGAAAAAAGGACACATTGTTATAGTGAAAATTGATAAAATTTATTGATAAGAATGATTGTAAATTGCTTTTATTTTAAAAAAAATAAAAAATAAAGTTAGACAAATATAAATATGTATAAAATTATTTGAGAAAATAATTAAAAATGTCTGATGAAATACATAACGGTAACTTTTCATCTACAGTCATAACTTTATAAGGACTTTTTACAAATGCTGGGATTTTAAAAATGGTTTTTGTTGGTACCTAAAATAATGCCTGAACGACCTTCTTAGAATACAGTAAAATTTGTTATTCTCTATGAAATCCGTGAAAGATGTAATTTTTATATTCTGTGTGTTTTTTCTTGCATAAACGTTTTCGGTTATTAACATAGTTATAGAGTTTTGAAAAATTGGTATTTAAAAAAATAAGTAATTTTTTGTTTTCATTCATAAAAATTCAGTCATTATGCAGTAGATAATCCTTTACAAATATCACTTAAAAAATTAAAAATCTTCCATCTGGCATGTTTGAACAAAAAAATATTGTTCTAGGTATAATAACCATCAATAACTCCAATTTGATTTCAACCAAAGGAAATTTGTCATAAACTCGAATCACACATTCACCACAAGGAATGACCTTTGTCATTATACCAAAACAAGTAACAACGAAACAGTTAAAATTATTACTGCCTCTGTGAAATTCTTCCTTATACCCACACGTATAATCGAATTGTCAATAAACATCCCTGGATGAAAAAAAGGTGATTCAACGTACCCGTGCTCGTGATACCAGATGTGCCGAAGGCATTGGTCCCGGTGAACGAGGTGGCAGGGCCAGCGGTCGAGAAGGTGCTCGTGGCCGTGGAAAACGGCAGCACCGACGACTGCGTGACGCCCGTAGTGAGACCCGTCAGCGTCGAGTGGTACGAGGGCGTGGAGAACGGGACGAGGCTCGCGGGCTGGAGGGCCGAACTCACCCCGGCGACGCTCTGATGGCCCAAGCTCGTCTGGCCCACCGAGAACGTCGGGTGGCCCAACTGGCTCGTGTAGCTCGCCGGCTGCTGTACCGAGCTGTACGTGCTGCTCGGCAGGGACGTCATCGGGAGACTTGGAAACGTTGTGCTCTGCAATCGTTGCTTATTTTATGCCAATTACCCTTTTTTTTTTTTTTTTTTTTTTTGTGGTTACTACTTAAGCAGTAGTTTTGGTTCAAATATGGATAACCAAGCGATTGGTAGGGACTTTTTTTATTCGAGAACTCGATTCTCGAGCCAAGCGGTGTTTTTACACGACAAGTTTTTACGATCAAGTGAAATTGAGCGGCAAAAGCTCCCATCCGTAAAATAGATAAATACGGAAGGGGTTCAATGTCAGCGTACTTTTTTTATGCATTTTGGCAGCAAGAAAACCCATTGAAATCGTTAAGAAGTTAGCGAGTAATGTAAACTAGAGGATAAATATTGATAAAAATAAAATTTATTGTTATCCTTCGCAGTAATGTCCACGTGGTATGGAATAAGGTCTAGAGATAATAACGTAAAAAATATGAGATTAAAAAAAATAGTCGTTTTGTTTTTATTTAATCATTAACTATTAATAGCGATTAATAATTTATAAAACGGGAAAAAAAATCGTTTCCAGTCCAAAAGTATCAATACATGACATTCAAATGAGTAACGTATCAAAAACTGGGGGCCAAAATGAATTGCTTTTGTTTTTATGTAACTTCTGTAGTAAATAGCTGAAATTAATTAGGCAAACATAAATACGTGCAGCCAACTATGCGAACGAAATAATTTTGCCATGCAGGAGCGTGCCACGCACTACAGATGCAATATGTATGTATGTACATGATTCTGCAGACACGACACTCTTTTTCACAAAACAAATTTCTACAAGTAGATACAGTTTTATTTCCCTTTTTTTTGTTAACAAATTCATCTCCATATCCGCGTACCCAATACTTTATGATTCACGTACCAAGTGTCACAGTTAGGGATTATTGAAATTAATTATACAAAGTGACCCTTTTGTTCATCGCAAATCTAATAAAATATCCGCAGACATGTCACAACGCTCCGGAAAAACAACTCACTCGGGGCCATTTATTTTCGCCCACTTACCCAAGAAATCAACAAAAACACGCGCCAAAACCCGAACCAATTAAACGGCATAAAACCAGCGATTAAAATCCGTCATTATCACCAATGTCAGCTCTGCTCTAATTCTATGCCGTTTTCGAGCTCGACGCACCGTCAAGGCAAACTTAGCGTGAATTTCTCACAACCTTTCGTGCGCTTATCGAGCGGGATCTCGGCGAGAGCTCGGAAATTAATACTTTTACTCCGAGAGCAGCTAGGCGATCTAGTCGATAAAAGTACACTACGCGCAGTAATAGTAAAAAAAGGGGGGGAGGGAGAAAACGAAAAACGGGTGAAATGATCACCGATCAAGCCACGCAAACGCCACAGACTCAAATTACCAATAAGTTGTCCGACACGGTAAAACCCAATTGGGAACAACACGCGTGTGCAACGCTTCGCGACTCGCGTCACCCAAAAAAAAAAGGGGGTGGGGGGCGAGGGACCAGAAAAGAAGAAGGAAGACGCGCGCGGAGTTGATACGAAAAACCTTGACAAAAGCAGCTCTGTCCTCCCGCTCGAAAATCAATAGCACCTCCTCGCAAGGTCGGACCGCGAAAAAAAAAAAAAAAAAGCCCAACAAAGACGCTATCCCTCGCCTCCCCCACACCTCCCGACTCGTTATGTACATTTTTTCATCTCGTGTATACCCCCCCTCCTACGTATATGTTCATGCGATACGCGCCAAAAAGGTTGAGCAAAGAGGGGAAAAAAAAAAAAAAAATGCAGGTAAGTACAAACACTCCTCGGTTTTGGGTGGTCGGAAAACACCAAAGAGCTATGCCCGCACGCGTAAAGGTACACACAATAATCAAAACACAAAAACAAGCAGCCGCAAGTACACGTAATTATACATGTACATATATGTATACACACACACACAAACAGACAGCGAGAAGAAGGGAATCGAAGGCCAGTCACAGTGATCGTGTTCTGTGGCGTATATTCTCTCACCTGTTGTTGCGTCCCATTGAGCTGGTAACTCTGAGCTCCCGACAGCCCAGTGCTAGCAGCAGTGGGGGCAACAATAGCCGAGCCGGTTTGGCCGTAGTGGGGCACCTGCTGGCTTTGGCTGGCGGTCGCGAGGAACGGGGTCGCCGATGAGGAGGCAACCGGTAGCTGCTGCTGGTGAAGGACCGGCTGCTGTGACGACGCGGCCGACGACTGGTGCTGGTACGTCTGCGTGTGGGGGTAGCTCTCTTGGTACTGGCTGCCGCTGCTGGCAAAGTGGTGCTGCTGCTGCTGGTGTTGGCTGTGCGTCTGTGCTACTGGCTTCTGCATTGCGGCGCTCTGCGCGTGCGACGTGGCGTGCATGTCCATGTGCGCCGACGAGGGTTGCTGTTGAAGGTGGTGTTGCTGCTGGTGGTGGTGGTGGTGGTGGAGGTGATGTTGCTGGTGGTACGTCGAGAGCTTCTGCTGGAAGGCGGGCTGTGATTGGCTGGTCGAGAGGGAGGACGAGGGTGCCGGCGGGATCGGCTCGTTGTAGTGGTACGGGGGCCCGTTTGGCGTCAGAACCGAGCAGCCCGGCATCATCGGCGTCAGGGGCATCGGCGAGCCCGCGTACTGATCTCGCAATCGTGATTTTTGTAGTGGCGGTGGTGGTGGTGGTGGTGGTTATTGTACCATCATATATTCAAGTGTTCGTGCACGGGGTTCGCGTGATTCGTGCGTGTATTTACATAAATAGTTGGGTGACGAGTATGTACATATAATAAAGAGTGGCTCGTTGGAGTTTTGCTACATGACTAAAGATTGTTTTTTTTTTTGTTTTTTTTTTTTTTTTCGTTTTTT